TTTCGAGACAGAGAGAGAGACACAGCATGAACGGGGGAGGGGCAAAGAGAGAGGGAGACACAGAATCGGAAGCAGGCTCCAGGCTCTGAGCCATCAGCCCAGAGCCCGACGCGGGGCTCGAACTCGCAGACTGCGAGATCATGACCTGAGCTGAAGTCGGACGCTTAACCGACTGAGCCACCCAGGTGCCCCTGTCTAGCTTTTACTATAATTGACATATAACATTGTACAGGTTTAAGATGTACAACGTAGTGATTTGATGAATGTATATTTTGCAAAATGTTTATTTACCACAGCAAGTTTAGTTAACACGTCCTCATAGTGTTTTTACTTTCTTCTCTAATAGTGGTTTTCATATTTTGTACATATCAGAATTACCTGGAAGCCTTATTAAAAATAGCACAGATTCTTCAAGGCTTTCCCCCACTAGGTCTGGAGTAAAACTTAGGATTCCGCACTTTTAATAAGGTACCCTAGGGGATTCTGATGCCAGTATCCTGGACCCACAATCCCTGTTTCTGTGATGGCACCTGTGAGCCTGAGGCATGGAGCCAGGTAGACAGTCATGGGAGTGTCTGACAGGCCATCATAGGTAGCCCGCCCACTCTTTGCATTCGGCTCTTGTCCTTTTCCTTTTCACCTGTCCCTGAAATGACAAGAAACTCTCTTGTGCAAGAGTAACCAACTGTTATCTTCCATGGTCCTCTTATCTCATGGCAAAATGTGGTCACCAGTAAAGTAGCATCTGGTCCAGGTCTACAGAAAAGGATCTTGGCTGGCTGAATTTGATTTTTCTTTTTCCTTTTCATACTCTCAGGACTCTCACTGCCTTTTCCTAGGAAGAAAGGCTTAGAGTTACCTTTTGTTATTGTCAGTTTCCTTCTTAAGGAGGGCTGTGGCAACTCCTGGGGAAGTGTACCTTTTCTTAGATAAGGAACTCTGAGAACCTTAAATAAGCCAAGTCAGAGGTGCCATAAATGTACTAAGCTCAGGTAACTATGGAAGCCAGTTCAGAGGTTGAATAAGGATTGGTGCCTGAGGGGGTTGGGTTGGGCTACTTTGCTACTAGTTTAAAGGGCCTGAGACAGGTGGGACCCTAAGTATTTTGTCTTTCCTTGTTCTTCAGGACACAGACTGGGTGGTGGTGAAGGAGCCTGTTATCAAGGTGGCTGCTATCGACAATGGGCTGGCTTTCCCTCTGAAACACCCTGACTCCTGGAGGGCATGTAAGTCTCAAGACCATTGTGGTCTGGCTTTTTCTTGCTCTTCTCAATTTTTTCATCTATGGGGTGAAGATAATAATACCTCTACCACAGGATTGTTCTAAGAATTTGTAGAATGACGCAGCTCATGCATTTAGCACAGTAGCTGACACGTGGGGCAAGTACTGCAAAACGCAAGCTACTCTTGTCATTTTTGCCTGACATTAGTCCTGTTAGAAGCACAGAGTTGAATTTTCTCATCTGTGCTTTGCATTTTTCTCATTTTTTCTGAGGACTATCTTATTATAATTTATTCTATTTGTGTTTCTAAATATAAGCTATCGTCAATGTTTTCTGTCTTCCTTGGTGACATCCTCGAAGCCAGCCCCTGCCCTGGTCATAACTGAGAAACTCTTAGAAAAAGAAAGGGAGATACAAGTAGAGGGTCACTAGCCCCTTTGCAGTACCAGTGTGTCTTTTCAGAAGGCCGATCTCAATGTCTCGTTGGTAGATAACTAGAAGTAACTAGAAGGTCTTGTGATGTCTGGGAAAGAGTACAAGCTCTGGGATTTTTGGGTTTGAATCCTAATTCCTTTGCTTACTCTTTAGGCTTTAGGATTAACAGCCCTGGTAACATTTCTTTTCTGTCCTATGTCAAGTAAGAGGGCTGTTCTACCTTTGGCAGTGCTCTGATAGGTGGAGGACAGAGATGGGCAGCTTTGTTTTTTGCTTTTCTTCTTTTCAGATCCCTTTTACTGGGCCTGGTTGCCCCAGGCAAAAGTCCCGTTCTCTCAGGAGATCAAAGATCTGATTCTTCCAAAGATATCGGACCCTAACTTCGTCAAGGACCTGGAGGAGGACCTATATGAACTCTTCAAGGTTAGCCCTGAGAACCTCAACCTTGTAACTATATGGAAGAAGGAATTTCTAATGGCTTTTCTAATGGGTCCTGATACAAGCCAAGAGAGAATGGCTAACACTCTCACTCTTCTGACTTGTGTCGGCCAATGAAGAGCAAACAAAATTCCCACATGTGGGCATCAAGACCTAGTTCGGGTTGGTTTGAAAAAAATTGACAGCCGTGATGAATCAACATGGGTTTGTCTTGTGTGTCACGGGGCTGCAGTGTATCTGTAGAGCTCGCCTTTTCCAATGGAGCACTAGAGGCCGGAATTCTGCACAGTTCATAATGAGACTCGGGACAAGATATTCACTTGTTGTTTCTTTCCTCACCCACGAGACAGAGAGTTCTTAGGGTGGTAGTTAACTTCACTAAACCTCATAAACCTCATGTAAGTTTTCTTTACTAGAAAGTTTTTAATCGGGGGAAGAAAGTGGGTTCTTCTGAGAGATTCACGCAGGTTCCGTCTCCTGCCCTTTTGCAGAAAGATCCTGGTTTCGACAGGGGCCAGTTCCATAAGCAGATTGCTGTCATGCGAGGACAGGTAAGCCTGGGACTTCCTCCTGTTGTCATCCCTGGACTCTCTCCGGGAGGGTTATATGCTCATGCTGAGTAAATGTAAAGCTTGTGTTTTACACCCTTTTAGTCTATGCCGTACATATTTGTGACTCTGACTTAGCCCTTGGGTGAGGAAAGGTAGCCCTTTCAAATCTCCCACTTCTTCCACGGTGTCCAGTGCTTGGTGAGGCATTTATTATGAGCTCAGCTCTGTGCCTGTTGCTGGCTAGTTCATTGGTAAATTTACCCAGCGGCCCCTGTCTTCAAGTTGCTCAAGGCAGGCCATAGGCCTTGGTGGTTAAGAGCCAGCCTCTGGAGTCCGACTTCTTCACTACTTACAACCCCTGTGGCCTTGGGCCAGAGCCTCGGTTTCCTTGTTTATAAAATGTGACAATAATAATTCCTTGCAGAGTTGGCCAAAGGATTACATAAGATAAATGCATATCAAGTGTTCAGTAAAAATAATCACCTAGGGTTAGCACTCATATATTGATCGTGGTTATAATTTTTGTTATCGTTATAAGTTGTATTATTTCTTCTTTCTCCACTTTACCTTCAAAGAGAGCTAAGGAAACCCCTAGGGCATTCATTGTTGAACTTCAAAAGTAAAGACTGTGCCTGAAAAATTGTTTTAAAGCTCTGTAGAGCACTGACATTCTGCTTATCACTTTGATATTTTCTTTCTTTTTAATGTTTATTTATTTTTGGGGGGACAGAGAGAGAGAGAGTGTAAGTGGGGCAGAGAGGCAGAGGGAGAGAGAGGATCCCAAGTAGTCTCCGTGCCCAGCGCAGAACCCAACATGGGACTCAAACCCACGAACCATGACCTGAGCGAATATCAAGAGTCAGATGCTCAACCAACCAAGCTGCCCAGGCGCCCCAACTTTAAAGTCTTAAAGACATCTGGGATGGCATAGTGGGATGACTTAGTGGACACAGTGCCTGTGTTTGAATCCTGGCTCTGTCATTTATTGGCTCTGTCATTTATTGGTGAGGTCTTGGAGAAGTTGTTTAGTCTCTCCTCCTTTTAGTGTGTCCATATGTAACATGGGGTTAATAATAGCTCCTATCTCATAGGGTTATTATGAGATCCATGGTTTAGTACGTGGTGTATTGAAGTGATCAATATGTATTAGCGGTTTTGATTATGATTTTGTGTGCAGAAAAGGTAGGTTCTCACATCTTTAAAGGTCAAGAAGGTCTTTCCAGTCATAATTATGCATTTACCTCTACCTACCATTTAGGTAAAGGCTTCTTGTGAGAGCAACTCTTGGGCTTCCTGAGTTCATGTTTCCTTGGAAGTGGGATGTACAGAGGTTTCAAGAGCTGCAGTTATTATAGCTGCCTGAATACCAGTGACGTGGTCTTCCTCCATTTCCCAAATAATGTAAGGGCCCAGTTAAGCTGGCAGAATTTTTGGAGACCTTAAAAGCCACATGATGTACTGTGGTATTATGGAACTCAGCATAAAGGAATGAACTTCTCAACCTTGTGTAGGCTATGCCTCTGTCCCTATTATACTATCTTCTCTAATCCCTTTCCAGCTCAGTCCCTTGCCAAAACCATAGCAACCCTCCTCTCATCATATCGGTCAGGGCCATTATCTAGAGTGGCAAAAGGGGGGGGTGGGGTGGGAGAGTACAATTTTATCTTTCTCTCTGTCTTGTGCCCTTAATGTCCTTTGAGGGCCTTTTGGCCTCTTACGACTTAGAGTGCCTCCCTCTCAACACTGTAAGTTTCCATGAGCATCCAGCTCATTTCAGCAGGTAGGTGGCCAATACATCGGTCACATCCTTACTTGCTTACCAGTCACACACAACGAGGCAAGACGAGCCGCCACCTTGCAGAAATCTGACATACTACAGGGAAAGGAGGTCACAACCCTTTCCGTACCTGAGCTGTAATCACAGAGTGCCTATATGAGGGCCCTCAGCCAAAGGGGAAGAGTAAAGACCTTCCAGAGAGCTGGAGTTGGATGCCAGTTGTTACTCAAAGACTTTGCACCAGATGTTAGATCTACTGCGGGGTCTGAGGGAAAGCCTCTTTAAATGGCACTTTCAAAGATTTTATCCTTTAGCTTTATGTGCTACAGAATATGTGCTATCAATTTCTTGTCAGCTTTTTAATTTGAAGAATTTCAAACCTTAGTAAAGTAGGATCTTCTCCTAGATTCACCGGTTATTATAGTTAGCCACGCTTGCTTTATCTCTGTATCTATTTGCTTGTATCTCTATAGGTTATCTATCTGAGGAATATCTCTCTCTACAAATGTATCTAATTTCTCTCTTTAATATAACTGTATAATTTGTCTCTCTCTAGATAGATAGATTGATACATTTTATTTTTGGCCAAATCTTTTGAAAGTAAGCTATAGATAATTTGACATTTTACCCCAAATAACTTCAGCATGCATAAAAGGCAGCTTGTAACCCAGAGAATAATAGGGGAAGCACAGGAAGAACCAGCCAGGGCAGGTTTAAAATTCTCTGTCTCTTGGGGCGCCTGGGTGGCTCTGTGAGTTAAAGTGTCCAACTCTTGATTTCGGTTCAGGTCATGATCTCATGGTTCATGGGTTCAAGCCCCTCATTGGGCTCTGTGCTAACAGCATGGAGTCTGCTTGGGATTCTCTCTGCATCTCTCTCTGCCCCTCCCTCCCCAAATAAAGTAAAGAAACTTAAGTTTCTGCCTCTTAAGTTGGGTGGTTTCCTGCATAATTCACTCCAATTCCATTTGAAACTCCTTTTCATTCTCTACCCAGAGTTTGTGCTCAAGGCTCTTTGAAGCAGTGGAGGATGCTGACAGATACTAAAACAATGAAGTAAAACAGAATTAATTACAGATAGGATCCACTTCTGACTTCTCACCTCTGTTTCAGGTGTATCTCTGCCTCTTCATGGGCAGCGTTTGCAGGCCAGGGATATTTGTGGCTTAAAGGCCGTGTGTCTCTGTGATTTGAGGGTCCAGCCTTTCTTACCCTCCCCTCTGTCTGTGGCCTGGCCATGAAAATCTTCGATATCTGGCGGTTTAAAGAAGGCTATCATAGGGGTGCCTGGCTGGCTCAGTTAGTAGAACGTGTGACTCTTGATCTCGGGGTTGTGAGTTCAAGCCCCATATTGGTTACAGAGATTATTTAAAATAAAATCTTTTTATTTGTTTAACTTTTTAAAGAGACAGTGTGTGAGCAGGGGAGATTGGCAGAGGGAGAGAGAGAGAATCTCAAGCAGGCTCCGTGCTCAGCATAGAGCCCAATGCGGGGCTTCATTGCACTACTCTGGGATGGTGACCTGAGTTGAAATCAAGAGTTGGGCTGTCAACTGACTGAGCCACCCAGATGCCCCATACTTAAAAATAAAAGCTTTTTTTTTTAAATTTGTTTTTAATGTTTATTCATTTTTGAGAGACAGAGAGAGACAGAGTGTGAGCAGGGAGGGGGAGAAAAGGGAGAACTGGCAGGCCTCCAGGCTCTGAGCTGTTAGCACAGAGCCTGACGCGGGACTCAAACTCACAAACCGTGAGATCATGACCTGAGCTGAAGTCGGATGCTTAACCGACTGAGCCACCCAGGCGCCTCTTAAAAATAAAATCTTAAGGGGCTTCTGGGTGGCTCGGTCGGTTGAGTGTCTGATTTTTTTTTTTTTTTTTTTTTTTTGCGTCTGAGTCTTGATTTGAGCTCAGGTCATGATCTCATAGTTTATGAGTTCAAGCCCCACGCTGGGCTCTGTGCTGGCAAGGTGGAGCCTGCTTGGGATTCTCTCTCTCTCTCTCTCTCTCTTTCTATCTTTCTTTCTCTCTCTCTCTCTGCCCCACCGTCTCCCACCCTCTCTCTTCTCTCAGAATAAACTTAAATAAAATCTTAAAAATAAATTTAAAAAATCTTAAAAAAAAATTTTTTTTAAGGTTTACTTATCTTGAGAGAGAGTGTGTGAGCAGGGGAGGGACCGAGAGAAAGAGAATCCTAAGCAGTCTCTGTGCTGTCAGTGCAGAGACTGATGCAGGGCTCAAACTCATGCACTGTAAGATCACGACCTGAGCGGAAATCAAGAGTCAGTCACTTGACCAACTGAGCCACCCAGGCGCCCCATAAATAAAATCTAAAAAAAAAAAAAGAAAACTGGCGTGCCTGAGTGGCTCAGTGTTGGCTTTACCCTGGCTCAAGTCATGATCTCACTGCTCGCGAGTTGGAGCCCTGCATCGGGCTCTGTGCTGACAGCTCACAGCCTGGAGCCTGCATCCGATTCCATCTCCATCTCTCTGCCTCTCCCCTGCTCACACTCTGTCTCTCTCTCTTTCTCTCAAATATTAAACAAACAAACAAATAAATAAAAACATAAAAAAAAAAGAAACTGTTTTAGAAAGCAAGCAAGCAAGCAGGCTATTATCAGACTACTTCCACTTTTGTACTCTCCTATCAGAGAAGATAGATGGTGGTGATTCTAATTTTGGCAAACGTGTCCCCATGGACACATTTCTGAAATATCTGTAAAAAACAGACTAAAGATGGTAAAGAGCTATGTTGTATCCTGAATGGGATCCTGAAATCAAAAAAGAACTGTACTGGAAAAGCTAATGAAATCCAAATTAAGTCTGGCGTTTGGTTAATAGTAATGTTCCACTGTTAATTTCTTAGTTTTGGTAAATGTGCCATAGTTCTATAAAAATTTAACATTAGGAAAAACTGGTAAATGGTGTACAGGAACTCTCTGTACTATCTTTGTAACTTTTCTGTAAGTCTAAAGTTATTCCAAAGTAAAAATTTTACTCAAAAAGACTCACAAAAACGATGATAAAGAGACAGCATTAGGGGTGCCTGGGGGTTCAGTCAGTTAAGCACCTGACTCTTGATCTTGGCTCAGGTCATGATCTCATGGTTTGTGAGATCGAGCCTCATGTTGGGCTCTGTGCTGACAGTGCGGAGCCTGCTGGGGAGTCTCTCTCTCTCTCCCTCTGCCCCTCTCCTGCTCGTGCTCTGTCTCCCTCAAAATAAATAAATAACCTTAAAAAAAAAAAAAAAAAGATAGCAGTAGAGGGAGAAGCCAACTGAAATGTTGGCTTTTTCCCAAATATATGGTCTTTGTAGGAAAATCAGAAAATAAGTATAAACAACCATGAAGAAATAAAAATCACCTATAATTCCTTGACCCAGAGATAATCAGTGCCAAGTTCCGGAATTTTTTTCTCTGCAGATAGGTAGATAGAATTTTAGAAAATGAAGGTAGAGTCTTTACATCATAATACTGGCTCCTGTCTCTGTCCTTTGCTATCTAATGACATTGTGATCAGCTTTCCATGTCAATAAAATCTATCTTTTAATTGCTGTTTCTTAGCCCTTACATTATTAACTGTTCCCGTACTCTGAGGCATTTATACCATTTTTACCGCTAAAAACAATACTGCACTGTATTAGTTGAAACTAAGTGTTTTGTGCCTATCCATGATTGTTTCTTTAGTTCCTAAAAGTGGAATTGCTGAGTCAGAGGGCCTATTCACTTTTAAGCCTTTATCGTCTGCTTCCCTTTCTGAAAAACTGGCCCAGGGTCCAGCCCCACAGCTTGGCTCTGAACTGTCCCCACCTCTGAGGCATCTTCTTCTTCTGTATCCTTACTAATGGGAAGGGGAAAAAATGGGAGGTTTTTGTTTTAATTTGTATTTTTTAAATGACTGGAGAGGTTTCCATTTTTCGTATTTTGCCCGTTTATATTCCTACTTCTGGAAATACCCTAGGTGTATAGTTTTTCATTTATGTGTTGTTTATTTTTGTATTGATTTATGGGAGCACTCTATCAGCAGGTCTCCCTTCAGAGGCAGACCAGGATGCCTTGGTCTTTTCCTCACTGATCTTATTTTTCCTACTGCAGATCCTAAATCTGACCCAGGCCCTGAAAGACAACAAGAGTCCCCTGCACCTTGTCCAGATGCCACCCGTGATTGTCGAGACGGCCCGTTCCCACCAGCGGTCTTCTAGCGAGTCCTACACACAGAGCTTTCAGAGTCGGAAGCCCTTCTTTTCATGGTGGTAGCCCGAGAGTCAGACAGAGACCTACTGTTCGAGACTCGGGCTGGGAGGAAGCCTGGGGGTGGGTTGCAGGAAAAGCCTGAGAAGCCGGTGGAGAGCAGTGCCCTTGAGAGCCCTTCTTCTCTGCTCGTCACCCCCCTCAGGGCTTTCCCAAGCACAGGGAGAAGCACAATCAGAGGGACAGTGTGTGCCTGTGGGCCCTTCTGAGTGCTAGGGAGGGCTGGAGCCTCCGCGCAGGTAGTCCAGATGCCCGGGAAGGAGCAGCTCCCTTCCAGCATCCCCTGGGGCAGGCTGGGAAATTCCCTTCCCTCCCTGACACCCTGCTCTGTGGCAATTCCTCATTATATTCTGCATCAGAAAACAGACAGACAAATACACATTTAAATATTAGTAGCAAAACCGAGGCAGATTCCCAGATCCTCTTAGGTCAGAAACCTCTGATCCAGACCTAAATTTGCATGGACCCAGATGCTCAGGTGCCTCACAGTTCCTTACTCCCATGGACCAAGGCAGCTGGGTGATTCAGAGGGCAACTGGGTGACTCACCAGTTGGGACAGACAGAAGCCACACCTTTCCTTTGGGTTTTTGCCAAGTTTTCTTCCCCTTCTCCCACCAGTGCAATAGGGTGACTGAAAGCCTCCCAACCCAGTTCTCGCAGCGGGGACACTTTTGCTCCAGAACTCTTAGTGGTTGTGCATATGATTGTAGAGATTGGCTCTGCTCTCTGCCCTTCTAGGGACACAGTGTCTCTAGTCCAGGCTTGTAGTTTGCCCGTCATTCAGGCAAAGGCAAGAGGGCAGAAGCGGCTCCCCCAGTATGCACAAGCCATCCATTTGGCCTGAGTACATGCCGGGGGCCGTAACTGGTCTGTGGGCAAACATCCCAGCCTTGCTTCCCCAGTCTTGGTGACAGACACCCCGGTCCTCTTATTTGTTTCTGTTGTTTCAGATATTTTTTTTTCTTGACACTTTTCCCTCAGGGGGTTCAATTTTGGGTTCTGGAGTGGGTCTCAGTGAGGATTCTGGGATGCATCTCAGCTCATAGGAGGACAGGATATTAGGTCCCTGGACTTCTTTTTATGCTACCACTGCTGCTGCTTGGCGGAGGTAATGGGACTCATATTCTCTTCCTAGTCGGCAGCTTCCCTTTGCTCCCTGACTTCTTGTTCTAGGCCAGTTTTTCCATGGCTTCTTGAGAAAGGCAGGGCCCAAAGGAGAAGGGCCTTCAAACTGTCCCCTAGAGCCTGCCCAGTTCAATGTGCATCTTCCTGCTTCCCTGTCTCTTTTCCCTCAGCTGTCCCCCTTGCCAGGTGTCCGAGCCCTTTCTACACCAAAGCAAAGAATGGCCTCAGGAGAGAGTAGAGAGGGTGCCATCTGTGGCTAAGGGGCAGTTCTGTGCTACTGGACACTTCAAGATTCTGGCACCCTGCGATTGGTCAATCAGTCTTGGAAAGAAACGATCTTGAAGGTTTGAAAAACACCAAAGAAAGGGAGCGAGGACTATGGCTGCGTGCCCTCTGCTTGCCCAGCTCCCACTGCCCAGGAGGCAGAGCAGAGATGTGCAGCCCTCTCGTCAGCTGGGCCAAGCTGGCCCCTTTGCATCCTAGCCCCCAGGGTCCAGCTTGTGCCGGGGGGACCCCCAGCTGACAGGAGGAGTCTCTGGGAGCTGGGTACGCATGCCCTGTGGACAAAGGCACAGCTCCTAACCCTGACAATCTCATTCAGCTGGCCTGGAATCTAACCTTGGGGACCATGTTTGTGACAGTGCCTGCCCCCAGACTGTAGGAGCAGCAGGGCTCCCAGAGGCCAGAAGGGACCCAGGTGTGCTTGGCTCTCCAAAGATCTCTGTCCACAAACCTGTCGGTAAAGCTTCTCACCTGGGCGTCGAGAGAGCCTAAGCTGTCTTAGAGGAGGCTGGGGGAAGCCAGCCTGTGCAAGTAGGTCTGCACATCGCCCTCATCTAGACCAGCTCTGTGATGAGAAGGAAATCGAGTCCAACGTACGAGGGGGCTGGCCCCAGTCCTGGCAGGCGGGAGCGTGGGCCGTCCTTTCCTGGCATGTTTCCATTCTCCTTGAAGCCTGGACTCAGGTTGCCTTGAATGTGGACTAGGGAGAGCCAGGAGCCTCAAAGTGCCAGGGCAGGCTTCTGGGCGGCACTCACAGAACAGCCGGGCCCTCTGTCAGCCGCAGGCCCTGTCCCCGTGTCAGGGAGGAGAGGCCGGGCTGGGAGAGTACTGCTGCCTGTGTTCTTCCAACGCACTGTAGAACTTGTATGTAATGTATTTAAATCAATGCAAATGTATGAATAACAAGTCCAATTCTGACCTTTTTTGTCTAGTTTTCTTGGGTGAAAGGAAGACAAGGTAGAATGCAGTTTTAAGGACAAAGAACCATGTGTTTCCATGGAATCGCTGAGATACAGCCCCAAAGTTATACAGGTCCTCATTTCCAAGGTCCCAGTGCTCTAAAAACCAGAAATATTTTCATTGACTCATTTGATACCGAAACCTGACCTGACCCTACACTGGTGTGAATTGAAGCTATTTGTAACCATGATGTTTTCCTCTTAGTGTATTTGTTGCAGAAATACTCATGTTTTGTTATGAGATATTTCCCTACTAGGGATTATGCAGTATTTGCACTGAGTACTTCCTACAAACTGAAAAAATTCTGAGTAACAAAATCCTCTAGCCCTATGGGTTTGGGATGAGGAATGCGCTCTGCTTCTCTTCTTGGCCACAAGAGGGCAGCGTATCCTTTGTGCGCATCACTGCCTGCTTGAAGCACTTTGAACCCTGGGTCCTTTAAAGGGTGCGTAATGGGACAGATAGGATGCCTGGGAAACAGAGGTGAATGCTAATGAGCACATAATATGCTGTTGAGGTGAAGCCAGTAGAAGTAGTCAAAAATCCTCCCCTTAAAGGTTATCAGGCCACAGGGAATCTCAGATAATGCTGGAGGCTCAAGAACGATTGGTCCAACTGTTGACCCACCTCAGGATGGTTGGCCCATGGGGATAAAGATGCCATCTGAGGAGCTGGCAGCCACTCCTTTGCAGGCTCACTGCCCACTGTGCAAGGCGGACTGGAATAGTCTTTCCCCTTCTAGAACTGGCCAGAGGCCAAGAACCCTCTCTCTCCTGTGGATCAGGACTGCCTACGGAAATGCTTCCATCTCCCGATCTCTGGAAACGGAGGCTTTAGCACAGAGGATCTAGGGGATGGGGGGTGGTGGGTGTTGCTCTCGGGGGAAAAGGAGGCCTGGCCTATTTTCTCCTTCCCGGGAACACCCCTTCCCTGCAATAAGTGCAAGCCCTCACCCCCTGGCTCCAGAATGTCCATTGAAGAAGCCTCCCTTTCTGTGACAGACTCACACAGTTCTTGATGCAAATGTTTTTATTTTGCCACTTAAACCACGGTTTCCTCGCACTAGCCTGACAGGCAGGGGTGTGGGCAGGTGGCTGGACCATGGGTTACAGTAGTAGCAGGAGGGTTAGTAGCAGGAGTGGTGAGATGCTCAGTCTCCGTGCCCATCGCTGGACTCCCAGGGGGATATCATGCAGCCCGAGTATACTGTCGGGTGGGAAGAGCTGAGGCAGGAATGGGTCCCACATGGTGTAGAGCTCAGGGGACACCTCCAGTCCTGTTCTGAACGGAGCAGGCCAGTGGTAGTGGCCTTCCATTTACCACTGTGGGGCTGTCTGCCTCCAGTCTGTCTTCCTTCTTCACTTCCTGGGCCCTTTGGCAAAAGTCCCTGTGATTCCTGGGGAAGTTACTGCCGTTCCCAGCCCCTTCCCTGGATCAGTGTCTGATCTGATGGAGGTAGCTTGTGGGGCCTGGCTTCTTCCAGTTCCGGCGGATCCTGGCACTTGTCCTCCTGGAGTTCAGATACTGATCGCCAGAGGCCATCTCTGTGGCACCACTCTGTGGGTCGGCCAGTGGAGCACGGGGCTCGGGGATTCTGCAGGGAACAAGTGTGTGATAGGCCCAAATCAATAGGAAGAACAGAATGCAGGCTAAAGAGATTTTGGTCAGGATGAACTAAACACACCGTTTGGGGCAAAATGAGACCGGGGCTCTGGACTCGTCTGCCCCCCTGATTGCTAAAGACTAGGCAAAGCTTTCAGATTTCTTTTCTGTAAAGAGAGCTGGACTAGATCGGGGTGTGTGACAACTCAGCCTTTCTCCAGCTTCATGCTGTACTTGTGGCAGCCATCATTAGTCAGCCGTGATATGAGACTGGAGGAACCAAGAATCCTCCTTAGCAAGATGTTTTAAATTGGGATTGCAAGTCAGCTAAAGTTCATATGAGCAAGAGGCTGATTTGCTCCCCCTGGACCTGATGACTCGGAAGACCTATCCAGGACTAATATTCTGACTCTGGGGCCCGAGAAGGCAGCGGGAAGAATGGAGGGCAGAGTGTAACCCACAGTGATTGGCTAGGCTGTGTGGCTCCGCTCAACCCTGTGGGGCTCGCTGTTCTAGGCTGTCAGTGACCTAGGCACAGAGGGGGATGACTAGGGGAAGTTGGAAGTTCCTCAACAATTTTTAACCCTCAGTGGCTCTACCGAACCTTCCTACGCTATATTCTCTGTAATTCCACAGGCAAGATCTTAACCAGGTTTACTCTTGATTTGTTACCTCTTCTGCAACAGGGAAACACGTTTTTTTCCTCCCAAACAATAGTCCCTCCCACTTGGCTGAGAATCACTGCAAAATGAGGTGGCACTGATAGGACCCAGGCATTCCCTTCTGTGGAAGTTCACAAGATCCTCCAGGACTCCAACAGTAACAGCAATCGTAGGCACTGTGTACCTCCCCCCGCACCCCCCCCCCATGGCAGATACTTTACGGTGAGGCCAAGTCAGTAGCTCCAGGTCACACAGCCAGAAAATGGTGGAAGGAGCATCAGTAGTGCCCCCCTTCCCTCAGGCCTCCAGTTCCAGGAACCCACCTGAGCCGGCTGCAGTGGTGCAGTGAGTGGCCCAGGGGTTTTGGCCGGGGCGGCCTCTTCCTACGCAGCCTCCTCAAGGCCTCTGCCACACGGTGGTCTCCCGCACACTCCCAGATGATCTGTGCCCGCTCTTCGGCCAGCTGGTCCCCACTGCGCTGAAACAGGCCCTGGATCTGCAGCAGCTCGGCGTCCTGGAAGATGTTGGCTGTGGCCTGCTTGCGGCCCCGGGCCTCAGCCGGGGCCTGCCAGGGGGGCGGCTCGCTCACCACAGAGGCGGGCGTTCCCATCCTGGGTGCTCTGGGGAAGGAAAGCACGGAGAGGCATCAGCTCAGCAGGCCCTTCCCAAACCTGGGGTCCTGACGGATACAAGGGCTTCTGGTGTTTCTGTTCTCCAGTAAGTCTGTGCAGTAAGTCTTGACTTAAAATCACTCCAATTGCCAGGGCACCTGGGGGAAATTATATGCATAAGGATAGCCAGACTTTATTATAAAGTGCTTATGAGTGCTACACATGTACTACCTCCCTGAAGAGGCCCGGCAACCAGTGAAGTAAGACTTGTTTATCCCCACCGTGCAGATGAAGTACAGCTCAGTTGAAATGATCCTTCCACAGACACGAAGCCTTGGTTAAGTGCAGAGCCAGGAGTAGCACCCAGGTCTGTGGTTCTAAAGCCCAGGCAGACCCCAGGACATCCAGGTCGTAAGGACGACGCAGCAGCAGCCACGGAAATGTGTCGAGCATTTCACATGTACTGGGCACCGCTGTAAGTCGTAGTCACGTCACGTCATTGAAATGTGAGCACGACAGCCATATGCGGTAGGGGCTGTACCCTCGTTTCACAAATGAAGAAACTGAAGGACAGATCCAGATACTGCTGATGCCAAGGCCCAGGCTCTTAGCACAGAAGTGAGAAAGGGGTATGACGTTGGGCTACCCAGGCTGGAATCCCACTTCTAGCCACCTCCGCCACTTACTGGCTCAGCTGCTTCCTGTGTAAACTTCTCAAACTATACCAATTTTGGCCTGAGTTGCAGTGAGGACTGAGTGAAGGCAGCGTTAAGAACAGTGTTCTACTATTCTGCTTTTCCATCTGTAAAATTGAGAACAGTCATCCCATCTATTTTCAAGACCCTCAGAGACAAACCAAGTCCATACAGTTTAACAAACACAGTATGAAACAGACCAGTCAGATCTAACTGTAGTCCAAAAGGCCATGGAGAGGAACGTAGGGACGAAGACGCAGCTACAGGGTTAGAATATACAACCATGGGCAGAGGCTGAAATCTTAGAAGTTTAATTAAAAGGAAGACTTATGTCCAAGTCCTCCCCCACCTTGCCGAAAATGAAAATTAAATGGTCTTCCTCAGTTCGAGAGAGTTCCACCTTGAATAATAAAGGCATAAGAGGCTCACTCACCCTACCCTTGTCTAGTACAGCCTGAAAAAGTTATGAGATTGGAAGGCAGACTAGAGACAAGGAGGACCAAGGACTCTGGCACAACACAGAACTGGGCTTGAATCCCAGCCCTGCCACCTTCTTAGCTATGACCCTAGGCAAGTTACCCAACCTCTCTGAGCCTCTTTGCTCAGCTGTAAAATGGGGCTCATAACCGCTTCCCAGGATTGTTGTAAGGATTGAATGAGTCTAGTGTGGTATCAGGTATCTGATAAGAGCCAAATAAACGAAATGCCCACCCGCTGCCCTTTTGACACTAGCTTAAAAGGGGGCGGGGGGAGCAAAAACTAAAGCATTTAAACACAAAACGTCCATGCTCACCGTGACAAACCTACACAGAATGGAAATCATAAAAAACGCGTTCCCAGCTTCCAGTGCTCAGCCTGCTTGCAGAGTGGCCCTGGCTCGCACCTGCCTTTACTCTCCTGAGAGTTTGAACCATCTCTCCATCCCGTTTAGACTCCTCAAATGTAACTGGCCCTCCCTTTCCCTGGCTTTCCCTCCTCACCTCAACAGCCACCCTCCTCATTCCAGTAATTTCCACACTCCCCCTGTCCCAGTGTCTAGGCCTATTAGAACCTCACTCTCTTCAAAAGATTTAATAACTAAAACCTGTAGAAGATTTTCAGGTAAATTAATTTCATAAAAATTGTGCATTTTATCTGGAAATGGGAATTTTAAAATCTACCTCTCCTTGGGCACTATTATGGAATCCAGTTAACAACCTTGTATGTGTGGTAATTAAATCCCCTGAGCTGGATAATAAAAATACACTGTGACCAGAAAACAGTCACCAAGTAACACTGTCAGGCTGATAAAGGAAAAAAGCTAACTATGGGGCATTTACTCTGCACCAGGCAACGTGGCAATATGCATGATATCATCTGATCCTCAAAAGCATTCTAGGAGTGGACGCTGTTACCCTCACCCCAGCGCACAGTGGGGCAAAGGAAGGCAAGATACAGATGAAATGCCAGTGGCTCAGCCAAGGTCAGGACCCGGTGTAAGGGGACTGCAACCGTGTACGAAAACCACAGCTGCCTTCACAGCCAAGCAGCTCAGAGCGTATTTCTTCCCATCGCTCCTGTGGGGGTGTCTCACTGTTCTTACCTGATTCACAAAGGAGGAAACCTCCAGTGGGAAAGGAAGAACAATGAACACATGCACACGAGGCAGGGGCGGGGTGGTAGAATTTATTTTAATCTTTTTGTTAACGTCAGAGCTGTTTACTGTTTGACCAGCTGTTCTAGCCTTAACCTGCGGCGCTCTGAAGAGGAAGATCCCCAGCTCCCACAAAAGAAATCTGGAACTGCAACCCAGCCCAGTGCACAGAGTACTGGCTCATGAGTCAGAGGACTACGTCCGGGCCCTAGTTCTGCCACTCAGCGGCCAAGGGGCCTCAGGCACTTCACGTCACCTCCATGGGCCTCGGTTTCCCTCTACATCTGTAAGAAGAACAGGATGATTATGCTCTCAGAGGGCGTGTGCAGAGTCCCTGATTCTGGGGAGACTAGGTCTGTACAGAAGCAGCAGTTGGATTTGCTTGTCTGCCAAGGCCATGTGCGGACAGGTCTGGCTAATATCAGGTGCCAGGAAATTCCCCAACCAATAGTTGCCCTTTTCTGCCCTCCTCAATCTTCCATGGAGACAACACACTGTTTTGCTGCCGTGGGATGTGGGGTTAGGGCGTGGGAGAAGGCAGCGAGATCACTGCTGTGAAGCACTCCAGTGACCCAGGCTGGCTGTGGCCTAGCCCGGGGCAGACTCCTCCTCTGGTCTGGGTAGTGGGACAAGGGGCGATCCTGCTTCTCTCAGACTCAGGCCCTCTTACCCTCCCTTCAGGGAAAATGGCAACAGGATGAAGCAGCAGCGGCCTCGGGGATGGCTTGCAGCCTGACTTCCCAGATGGCCCCGGCCACCTCTGCCAGGCTGCAAGGGCCTACAAGGCCCTGCCTCCAGCCTTTAGCCTCCACGTTACAGTGAGTTACACACACCAACAAACCATCTGGGTGAGTCTGGGCCAGTTTCCACCGTACCCTCCGTGCACCGTGGGGTGGGGAGACTTGGCACCCCCAGATTTTGAGATCCTCACTCTTGGCTCTGCCTCCCACCCTGGGATTCAGCCAGCAGTGAGACTGGGAATAAAAATCCATGTATTTCACATAGGATTAGATGTAAACTTGGGGAAAACTGAGTCAGAACTTTTATTATCAAAAGAAACTTTTAAAAAAGATTTTATTTTTACTTATACACTTAACTGACTGAGCCACCCAGGCGCCCCTACTTTTATTATTTTTTAAAGATTTTATTTTATTTTTTTAAAGGAATCCTAACCTCTCTTTTTTTAAGTTGATTTTTATTTATTTTGAGAGAGAGAGAAAGAGAGCATGAGAGAGGGAGGGGCAGAGAGAGAGGGAGAGAGAGAGAATCCCAAGAAGGCTCCACACCGTCAGTGCAGAGCCCGATGTGGGGCTTGATCCCAGGAACCGTGACATCATGACCTGAGCTGAAATCAAGAGCTCGACACTTAACCAAATAAGCCACCCAGGCACCCCAAAGATTTTATATTTAAGTAATCTCTACACCCAATGTGGGGCTCGAACTTTCAACCCTGAGATCAAGAGTGGCTTGCTCTACTGACTGAGCCAGCCAGCCTCCCCAGAAAAAACATTTCCTATCTTATTCAATGTGTGATTTCCCCCCTCCCCCCAATTTCTTAGATAAGACCTGAATCCAGGAAAGTCAGTGTATGCTTGAACCATGGTACTTTTCTACACTAGAAAATGACACCACAGGGCTATTAAAAGATTACAAATGGATCTTTCATTCCAGAGTTGATATGAAAGAATATAAACATGGGTCTGTAAGCAAATGAGTAAAAACTCATTTGCAAATTGCAATTTGACACAAGCTAGCTTAAAAAATGAACCCCCAAAGTAAATACCAAATGTTGAAAATGACAAAGTTCAACTTGCTTTGAAATAGGCAATAAATGAACTACAGAGCTTTAACAAAGACATATATTTAAAAAGTGACTCACCACGCAGTGAATTTGCAACATATGTAGTGCGCAATTGAGCATCTTTTGTGGTATATGAAGCTCAGTTCAGACAGCTATTCTGACTGGTCTCAGGGAGGCACAGGTATCCACAAGAGGCAGAGCACACTTTGTGTGAGCCGGAGGGGCAACTGCTTCCACGCTCAGCTCACCTCCTTCAGATAACTCTGGTGATGGTAATAATCTGTAATCGGAGGCAAAGGGCCTCTTGGAAGAAGAACTGGAGGCTCTGGCCCAAGGCCCAAATCAACACTTGTGGCCCTGGACTGCTTCCCTGACCCTGGACAGCTGCCAAAATCTGTGGCTCTTCCAGTGGGAGGTCCAGTCCACATGGCAGTGTGAGCCCCGGCCCTTTAGGGCCTAGCCCCGGCCAGGAGTGCCTGAGACAACTGCACACGTTCTGCACACGTTAGGTCTCCAAACCTAATGTGGACGTGGAAAAGGGAACGGGGACCTACCCCCAGACCAGTTCTCAGATATGACCAGAAGAGAAACTCTAGATCTAGCAGTAACTCTTTTCAGTGGTTCAAGAACCCTGAATTCTGGCTGTGCCACTGATAACCGAGTGACGTTGGCAAGCCCGTTTCCCCTGACTCATTTTGCTCATCATTAAAATAGTGAGAAGAGTGAGAACAAATAACCCTCAAGGGAATAAGGGAGATAAAAGTACGTGCAAGCGTCCATCTCGGTACATTATACCATGAATGAGTGATGTTAAGGGAAAGGCTGTTTAACAACCAGACAGTATAGAACCATTTTCATTTTCATGAAACTCCCTCAAAAGGGGACTACACTCTGGGGAAAGAGGGTAAAGGGAGATGGATTCATCTGTGGACTTTTAAGTCACGGCTGCCATTGAGGCAGCTTGCTTTGTGTCAAGCACAGAACATCATTTTCAAATAGGTAATCTCTTTAATCCTCACTCCTACGAGGGGCACTCTGGTTATACCCATTTTACAGATGAGAAACCCGAGCTCAGAAAGGTTAAGTAACTTGCCCAAAGTCAAACAGGAGGTAACTGATGATATACCCAGGTAGTATATGATCCCAGCGCCCAGGCTCTCAACCACTCTTATTTTTGTTCCTGCCAGACGGCTGACGAGGTCTTCGGGGGAAGGAATGACCCAGGAGGCTCTGAAACCTCTCGAGCCTGCTATCTGCTTCTGCGGGTTTCGGAAGGCGCAGGGATTGAAAGTCAGATCTCCCAAGGCAGCCTCGGCGCCCTCAGCACTCCGCGGCCCCGCGGGGAGTGGGAGCGATTACTCACCACGCTGAAGGGCAGCGTCGACAGACCTCAAATCGGGATGGGGCAAGCTAAGATGTGCCCACCCCAAACCCTTCACGGCCTTTCGAAAGGGCGGGCGTAGCTCTGCGCTTCCTGCTGTGAAGGTGCTCACAAGGACCGGGCGGCGTTCGCCCACAGGACGAGAGCTTGGGAGGGGATATCCTGGCCCAGATCGCTGGGCGAAACCCCCGGCACAGATCGGTCCCCGGGGCTCAGACGTGGCCGCTTCGCACAATGCCGTGCCCTAAAGTGGCCCTGCGGGTTCGGGTCCCAGCGGCACCCGGGCTCTGACGGCCAGCCCGCCCGCTCCTACCGCAGCGCGAGCGGGGCCGCCGACCTACGTACCTGGCTGCCCAAGGCGGGCCACCTAGGTCACAGCCGCGACTCCCGGGAGAAAACGCTCCCCAGCCGGGGAAGAGCCAATCCTCGGCCAAGCCCTGGTGAGAGCTCCGGAGAGAGCCTTCCAAAATCGAACGCGGAGACTCTGTGGGCCAATCATCAGCAACAGAGCAGCGAGGGGCGTGTTCAGGCTCCTCCTCCTTCCCTTCGCCGGCCCCGAAACCCGAGTGCGAAGATTCCCCGGGTCCAATCAGCAGCGGAGTAGCGGCGAGGGGCGTGTCCGCCGGGGCCCCTTCCCTCCTCCCTCGGCCGCCCTAGCGCGGCGCCCGGAGGCTCCCCCTTCATTGACGTCAGTCCCCTGGGAGAGCGCGGTTTTGCTGGCGCGGGAGCGGGCGGGGCCGCATTCCAGCCTCCGGGTGCGGCGGCTGCGAGCCCAGCCGGGTACACGTGACGGGTGCCCCCTCTCCTGGGCCCGAGGCCAGCGCTCAAGGCGCCGCGCTCCTTGCCGCGTGTGGCCCTCTGCAAATAGACCTGCAGTTCCTTAAATTCACTTCCCAGACAGACCACTTGCCTTCTGGCTCCTGCTTTGAGGGAAAGGAAGGGATAGTCAGACCTTGAGCTTCAAAGCTGGCATGTCGTGGGTTCGAGTATTACAGCAGCTGTGTCACCTTGGGCCAGTTACCTAAATGACAGTATTAAGAAGGTTTTATACATTCATTGGGCAATGGTCAGTCCATTAGGGACCCACCCTGTCCAAGTTCCTTAACAGGCAGTGCATAGGAGACCCCTATAAGCCCCTGCCCTGGGGGAATTTACAGCCCAGTAAGGGAGGCAGATATTAAAAAGCTTAAAACATTTTAGCAGTGATTACAATTGTAATAAACATTATAGCTAGAAAAGAGTCAAATGAAGGAATCTCAGCTCCTTGTAGGAGGTCCTGGGAGATAGAAAGAAGCAACATCTAAGCTAAGATGTGAAGGAGGAGTTGAAGTTGGTCAGATGAAAAGGAGTGGGTCTGGGAAGAGTGTTTAAGGAAGAGAGTATGGCATGTGCTAAGTCTAGGAGGTAGCTGGACTCCTGGAGTAAGGCTAGCAAGGGAGAGATTGGTGAGGAAGCAGGAGGCAGAGGGGGGCCGTGAAAAAGTTTCCATTTGATTCTGTGCAGGGAATACCATTACATATATTTGTTTAATAGGCATTTTATTTTATTTTTAAGTTTATTTTTGAGAGAGAGAGAGAGAGCACACGACTGCACACAAGTCGGGGAGGGGCAGAGTGGGGAGAGACAGAGAATCTGAGCGGAGCCAATTCGGGCTCCAACCGTGAGATCAGGACATGAGCGTGAGCGAAGTCAGACGCTTAACAGACTGAGCCACCCAGGTGCCACTTAATAGATATTTTATAGCACTCACCATGTGCTAGTAATGCCAGTCAGCACTTTACAAATGTTAGCTCGTTTCATCCTCCTGACAAATTTGTGTTTTTAGAAGGTCACTTCGGCCATAGGTTGGAACTTGGATTAGAGGGGGCGGGTGTGGATGCAGAGTGCCCGGTAGGTTCTCCATGAATGCTTGTTTACTTGTTTGGAAGATGAGGAGTTGTTTGCTCACTGGTTCAAAAATGGTCAGGAAGGCGCCTGGCAATAGGCAGCTAGGTCTCCCTGACTTCTGAAGACCTGGGGAAATGGCAAAAAGAACAAAGAAATCAGCAATGTTCGTCTCCAATAGAAGGCTGATTGCTGCAACGCCTTTCAGCCAACTGCTTGGCTAAAGAGAGGACTGTGTGGGCTCCTAAACAGGATGGCTGGGCTTCTGAACCAGGGACTGCCTGTACCCTGTATCCTGATGCCAGGAGCTCAGATGAGCCTACCAGGATAGGAACTGGGAACTTGTGGCTTCTGGGTCAGATGTGACTAAGGCTGGGTGGAGAATATCTGGTCTCTCCAAACACTTTTGCAGGCATGTGACCATATGCTTACCACACAATGGAACCATTTCTGTTGTTACAGCTTTATGATTCAGTGTTTCTGATGAGAAGATAGGGCACTAACATCATGCCGGAGTGCAGGGTCTGGGATCCACACCCCGACAGAGCCCTGTTTAGAAGAGAAGGTCGGCTCTGAGGAGTAGAGTCCTGGTGTAATTCAGGCCAAGACTCGGTTTTACGAGGTATCAGATTAAGGTGAGGTGAGTGAGGAATACTCCTTGGGTGCAGTATTTAAGGGGGCACTAAATAATCCAGATAAATATTTTAATGTAGTATTTTTAAAAAGCAAAACGTAAAACATCCACGGTGAACAAAATATCAGCACTTAAAATAAAGACAGACCGTTGTTTGTTTTATGACCTGGCGTCATTTTGCAACAGGAATAGTCATTTCCAATCAGCCCACAGTTCCATGCAGGTCACTATTACGTTCCCTGCCAATTAGCTTTAGGAGGGTTGAAAATAGTGTGTGAACAGATTGGGCAACACAAGGCTTTATGTGTGGTCCTGTTTTTTGATGGTAGGGCTTTCATCAGCTTTTTCCATTTGACTCAAAATGTGGAAGGATATTTCGGTACGTGCATATAGGAGTGCGTATGTTTCCTTTTGCCCCGGGCGCCAGTATGGCTCAGCAAGGTGCTAGTTTCTAGGGGAGTAGAGTCTAGGAAAGGGGTTCCAGCTGTTCAGCCTTAAGCAAATACCTAACCTCTCCACTTTTCTATTTTCTCATCTATAGAGTGGGAATAATCATGCCCATCTCTCTGTGTTGCTGTGACGATGAAGTGAGGAGTCACAGCACTCAATATAAACCTTGCTACAGACACTAAACCAGCATTTGACTCCTTCCCTCTCTGTCCTGCAGGAGTTGTTCAAGCAACTCTTACCAATGCTTCCCCACTGGGGTTGAGATTTGCTCCAGTGGGTTTGTTGCTCTCTGTCCTGTTCTGGGGAGAGCAGAGAGAATGTTCACCCTCAGCTGACAAGCAGTAGTGTGACTCTTGAGTCAGCTCCGTTTTTCCTTTCCCTTTTTTTTAAGATTTTTTTTTTAAATTGTAGAGGTGGGTGGAGAGTGTGAGCGGGAAAGAGGGGCAGAGGGAGGGAGAGAGAGAAAGAATGCCAAGAATGCCATGCTTAGCTCAGTGCAGAGCCTGACGGGGGCTCGATCCCACGACCCTGAGATACGACCTGAGCTGAAATCAAGAGTCAGACACTCAACCCCCTGGGCCACCCAGGCACCCCGACTCTGTTTTTCTTGATAAATGATCCTGGTACTTCTAAACTTTTTTAAAAAGCACCCTTCTTCTTAGGACATTATACAAGGCAACTTACTACAGCCCTCTTCTCTGAACTTAACCAAAAACAGCAAAGTCCTACAGGCAAATAGTACAATATAGAAGCAGTAAAAAACAAAACACAGCAAACGAAAAACCCACACCTAATCTAACCAATGTAGATTATAATTAAAGGTCAGTTTTATATTAGTCTGCTCGGATTGCCATAACAACATACCACAGGCTGGGGGGAGGTTTAACAACAGAAATTTGCTTTCTCACAGTTGTGTGGACGGCAAGTCAAGGTGCCAGGCCATTCAGTTTCTGATCAGAGCTCTCTTCCCGGGTTGCAGACAACAGCCTGCTCACCGTGTCCTCCTATGGTGAAGAGAGAGAGCTCTCTGGTGTCTCTTCTTATAAGGGCACTAATCCCATCAGATCAGGGCTCCACTCCTCATTTAACCTTAATTACTTCCTTACTCCAAACACACTTATATCGGAGGCTGGAGCTTCAACATGTGAATTTTGGGGGGGCACAATTCAGTCCATAGCAAGTATGGACTCACAGTTTTTTGTTTGTATTTTTTTAATGCTTATTTATTTATTTATTTATTTATTTAAATGTTTATTTTTGAGAGAGAGAGAGAGAGAGAGCAGGGAGAGGCAGAGAGGAAGACACAGAATCTGAAGCAGGCTCCAGGCTCTGAGCTGTCAGCACACAGCCTGATGCAGGGCTCAAACTCACAAATCAGTACATGAACTGAGCCGAAGTCAGACACTTAACCGACTGAGCCACCCAGGCGCCCCTGAACTCACGGTTTTTAACAGATAAGTAGGTATAGAAATAAGTGAGTTGTAAATGTCTGCATATGCTTAAATGTGTATGTGCACATGTGTACATGTGTATGTATACACACGAACACACACAAACACACACATTCCCCAGCTGGGTCTGCTGAGAGGGCCTAGAAGCAATGATGCCGCAGTAGGAATAAGCACATTTACAGCCCACATACTGATTTCCCAGTACCATGCTCCACAAAAGGAACCACGGTTCCTTGGAGAAATGAATCAACCACTGGGGTTGAGAAATTTCAAGATGATTCTAGAACATCTTGTGCTGGAAAGTAAGGAAGTACTCAAAGAATGATGGAAACATCAAAAGGACTAGGAGTCAGTTGATGAGGGCTCCCATCAGCAAATGCAGAGCGTCAAAACAAAGCACGACAGTAACAGATTATAACCCAGTGAGTGAAGTAATACCTTAGTCCATAGCAATATATAAATGAATAAATGAGTACACAGAGGAGAAGAAATAGGCCTCCCTTATGGTAGAATGCCAACCAATAAGTGTAGAAGCAATGAAGCAGCTAGAAAATCCTTAATGGTTCTTACAACAGCCCTGTGGCCAATCATAAAAATAAGGATTGTAGTAGTTTTGCATATTTTCTTTCTGTTGTATATACATGGTAGTTTGGTACATAGTAACCTTTTTTCTTTTTCTCTCTCTTCACATTTTCATTTGTAAGTTTCGTAAGTCATCGGAAGTTAACGTTACCAGCTTAGTCTTTAGTTAACAGTACATTCTGAGGGACTCTGGCAAACTCAGAAGTATTGAATACAGACTGTTGGGACTGTGTATCTCCCTATTTTGGAGACAGGATGTGAGAACTTCCAAGAAAGAGAGATGTATCTCATTCGGTGGAAATAAGGAGTTGTTTCATTGTAGTATGGAAGTCCGAATGTATGTAAAAGTTTGCGTACGGAAGATG